GCTCGTAGCCATCACCTGAGGAACGGGTCTTATTTTTAATGAAAATAATACAAAGAAAAAGAAAAATAGTAAAATACAAAGATAGAGTTCCGCCATATCATCATTACAAATGGGGTACATACACACACACACACACACACACACACACACATATATATATATATATATATATATATATATATATATATATATATACTAATAATAATAATAATTACAATAATGATACTTGACCGTTACAACTGTTTCAATCGGTACATATCCTCATCATAATATCCACATTAAAATATTATTTATAACATATTAAAGATTGTAAATATGGGGTGTAAATTGTAAAGTATTGGATGAAGATGAAAGTAGTTCAGGATGATTCGAAGCTCAAGTATAAAATATTGTACCTTCACAAAATAAACATTTAATGTATTAAAAATGTATCTTTAATATAATAAAAATCTATCTTATATCAGTAAAGTCTATTTTTCAAGGTGAATTATAGTACATTGACATGAACTCAAGTCTACTGAGTGTTTGGAGATGAATCATTATGTGAATGATTGAATAAATCGTATTCGCCCAGCGGCCCAGTAAGTGAGCGAATTTTTCAAGCCAGACTGAATAACTAAGTTTATTGGGTTAGGCCCAATGAGGTGACACAAACCCAATAAGCATGAATGCAGTCGTTATATCGTGCACCGCAGTGCATAATCAATTATGTACCGCGTGTTAAAACAGCATCGTTTCTACAGTTATAACGGAGTGACACTACAGTGTGTCTAAATCGACACTGTCTCATGTATTATTTTTATATTATCAAATAAAACTGCAGTTACATCAAAATGATACTGTAGTTGTGGTGAAATCAAACTACAGTATATATAAAATGAAACTGAATAACATTTCACATATTTGAGTGTATATTGTACAATGAATCTGTAATTATATTGAAATGATCATGTAGTTGTGTTTTAATGAAACTATAGTGTATATAAAATAAAATTAAATAACATTTTCACATATTTGAGTGTATAAATATTGAATGAAACTGTAGTTATATCAAAATGAAACTGTAGCTATGTTGAACTGAAACTGCAGTGTATACAAAATGAAACTGAAGAACAGAGTTATTTTTTGCAAAGATTCTGTTTCTTTTCATTAAATAAAACGACGTCGTTTTGATGTGCGGTGCATGATCGATCATGCACCGCGGTGCACGATATAATTTGCGGCATAAATGGAAGAAGTTACAAATTGAATTGGGTTAGACGAGCAGGAGCGTTATGCTGTACAATCGTGTGCACCATGCATGGTGCACACGATTGCAAAAACGACGTCGTTTTGACGTCCGTCTTTAAAAAAAAAAAAATCAGTTTCGATTGCTGTTAACGGCGTTTTTTTTTTAAAAATCAAACGGCAAAATATATTAATTAGAATCAAAGTCCAAAGCAGGAACAACAAAAACAAACGGGCTCCAAAACAGTCCATACAATCAGACTTAGACAAGACTTCCCGAGCTAACAGATGGGCAACCTTGTTCGCAGACCATTTAGCAAACAAAAAGCATAAGTTGTAAAAGCTTTAGCTAATTCTCTAACATCATTTAAAATAAGGTCAAACGAAGTTTGCAGCTTCTGAGTATGAATAGATGAGATAATCTTGCTGCAGTCTCTCTCAATTTGCACAGAATCCATGTTGATCTCCTTAAGCCATTTAAGAGCTTCCCTCACCCCTATTGCTTCAGCCTCGTCCGGTTTATACACACCATCTCAGGGAATCTGTTTTTCTGCTAAGAACTGGCCTTCATCATTTCGCAACACAAAGCCGAACCCCATCTTCTTGCTGTTGACATCTAGAGTTGCGTCAACATTGAGCTTCTTCCAACCTTCTGGTGGCTTCTTTCATTTTTCCTCCCTTCCCGGACTACTGTTCTGTTGCAAGATCCCAGCATTAACCGCTTGCCATTCATGGAGGTAAACTGTAGCATTACTAACAACTGCATCAGTGGGGATGATCACATGGTTCCATATCTTTTCATTCCTTGCCTCCCAGATTTTCCAACAGATAGCTATTAGTTGACATAGCGCATTTTCATCCAGATTTTTGAAATTCCATTCCAGCCATCCTAGGAAATCATAAACATCAAGATACGAGTTGTTTCCAATAGCATTCCAACATCCTCTGGCCAACTAACATCTAAGAAATAGATGATGCATAGATTCCCCTTCTTCATTACAGAGCTGGCAAAAGTCAGGCAAGCGATCATGAGTTGGAAGAGATCCTGAACACACCTGCCAAAGAAAAGATTTGATCTTCGGAGGTAGTCTCAACTTCCAAACTTTTGTCCAAAAAAGATTACTAACAGTATGCATTTGGTTCATGAGTTTCCTGTAACAGCTTTTAACCGTGTAGTCCCCTTTTTCATCATTCACCCAAATGATCTTGTCAGCACAACTAACCTCTGCAATGGGTATGGTTTTAATCTGGTCCACTTCTTGTTGACTGAAAAGATTGATCAGTAGATTCTCCTCCCACCCTGTTCTAGTCTGATTGAGCGAATCTTTCACTGTTGTCACCATGTTTTGATCTGCCATAGAAGTTTGAATGTAAGGAGAAGAAATGTTAGGCAACCAAGGGTCCTCCCATACTCTTATAGTAGCCCCATCCCCAACTCTCCACCTAATGCCTCTTCTAATAACATCTTGGGCTTCGAGAATACTACGCCAAATGAAAGAGGGGTTTCCTCCAATCTGAGCTTCAAGGAAAGATTGCATAAGAAAATATTTAGCCTTATAGACTCTAGCCAAAAGGGAGTTAGGAAATTGGATTATTCTCCAAGCTTGTTTACCCAATAAAGCCACATTAAACTCTCGAATTCTTCTAAAACCCATACCACCACTAGCTTTAGGGACACAAATCTTCCCATCTTTTCCACCTTATGCCATTGCTCCTTTCACCCTCACAACCCCACCAAAAACTATTCATAACTCTCTCAATTTCCCTACCCATATCAAGGGGGATTAAGAACACACTCATAGCATAAGTAGGAATAGCTTGAATTACATTTTTAAGGAGCACCTCTCGTCCCGCCCGGGATAAGAACTTGTGAGTCCAACTCCTAATTCTACCCACCACCTTCTCCTTAATTGCTGTTAACGGTGTTATGTTGTGCATAGTTTGAATTATATAGTTCATTAATTCTGGATATATAGTTCATTCATTCTGGGTATTAAGTCGGACGCGCATTTTTAATCAAAATGATGCCTTTTTTTGCAACCGTGTGCACCATGCATGCTGCACACGGTTGCACGGCATAATTTGCGACAACTAACTCTCACATAAACCTATTACAATAGTTAGAATATTTGCTCTATCAATTGTTATACCGTGAACTAGGGTCCATAGTACACTGTGGACCCTAGTCTTATACGACATTGTTTGAAACTTTAATTTTGACAATGATCGTTTGTTGTTCGGTTCACGTTACGGATGTTTTTTTTTTTAATTGTAAATCATGTGTTTGTATCTCATGTTATGTGTTTCTGTGTTTCATGTTATGCAATTTTGTACCTTAAACATATGGATTCTGTACTCGAAATAAAGTGAATATAACATGTGTTTTTGTGTGTTGTGCTATGCGTTTGTGTATCTTGTGTTATGCATTTTTGTGTCTTATGCTATGCAATTCTGAATTCTGTACCTTAAGAATATTTATTATATATGTACTTAAACTAAAATAAATATAAAACATGCGTATGTGTTTTGCGTTATGCATTTTTGTATTTCATGTTATGCAATCTATACCTTAAGAGCATGTATTCTGTACCTGAAATACATTAATAGTTGTGTAATACACAACATATTGTGTGTCTTGTTTTACGAATTTATGTCTTGTATTATTAAATTATCTACATAAATCAAATTTGAGAATAAGTAAAATATAAAACATTTTTATGTGTTTTGAGTTATACGCTTTTGTGTCCCATGTGTTATATAATTCTGTACCTTAAGCGTATGGATTCTGTACGTAGAATAAATTAAAATTTTTGTTGAAACATGAGAAACGAAAAATTACAAAATCTATTAAAGCTTAAATATCGAAACAACGTCATTTTGATCAATGATCCACAATGCTATGTGGACACTGGTACACTATATTTTTTGAAAAATATATCTGCGATATAGTATTAAATGAACTGAATGATAGTGTCAGGAGGGACAGAGTCCCAGTACATAGGTTGTTCCTGTTCAAAAGCTACCGAAGCTAAAATATGAGCATGTAAATTTAAAGTTCGGGGGACATAACTTAATGAACAGTGAATAAATAAAGACATAGCTGTCCTACACTGGTCCATAATAATCCCAACATAGGACAACATTGGCGTAGAGCTTGAGTATAGTGCACTCCGTAATTCTGAACAATCCGTGAGAAGGTCTACCGTCTGAACATCCCGTTCCTTGAGCCATGATAGGGCCTCTTTGCAAGCCAACGCCTCCGCCATCATAGCTGAGAAGGCCCCGGATAACTTTCCAATTGTTGCGGAAATAAACATACCGTGCTGAGAAAACAACACCGCCGCATACGTCGCTTCTCTGGTGCCACGTCTGTAACCCTCATCTATATAGCATTTCGGCCGGCCGGCCCAATTGCCGCAGACGTTACCGCATGTTCCGGCTCCCGAGGACGCTGGTGAACCTGACTATATAAATTGCCTTGCTCTATTTTAGTAGTGTGATTTTAGATGATTTAAGATTGTAGATTATTGATGTAGTACATGCAATGTGTTCTGGTCTTCTACGTACTGGAGGAAAGGATCATTGATGCTGGAAATGGATTTTCCAATGCAATATATTAATTCTTAATTTATGTGAGGTAAATTCAATTCACTAATTGTAACTACAAATTACAATTTCGATTTTCAATAAAAATTACTTATTAGCAATAACAGAGGCAATAGTATTTAAAAAAAAAAAAAAACAAAAAACAAAAAAAAAAAACAAAAACAAAAACAAAACAAAACAAAACAAAAAAAGACATGACAGATATTTTCATGGCTACTCTCTGGTGATGTGAGAAATGAAAGAATCCATTTCCGTGGGAGCAGCGCCGCCGTCAATGATGGCGCCTCTTATTTCTTTCGCTCTTCTCCTCATCTCATCTCCTTCGGGGGAAGCCATCAATCTCTTGACGGCGTCCGCGATTCTCTGCGAACTAACCATTTCATCGCTGGTACAGTCGTCAACTACCACGCCGGTTTTCAGCACCTTCGAGATTAGCACGGCGTTCCACGGCTGCTCCGAGTGCATCGGCCACGCCGCGAACGGCACGCCCATTGAAATGGCTTCCATACTGGAGTTCCACCCGCAGTGGCTCATGAACCCACCTGTTGAAGGGTGGGCGAGAATGTCCAGTTGCGGCGCCCAGTCTCTCACGATCATTCCCCTGCCCGCGATTTCATCTTCGTATCCTTCCGGCAGATAGGCTCTCCTTTTATCTCCGGCGAAAACGTCTCCCTTATCTCCCTCCTTTAGCACCCAGATGAATTTCTGCTCGCTTTTCGCTAGCCCAATCGCAAGCTCCTTGTTCTGTTCATCAGATAATGTAGTTGTGGACCCAAACGCGACAAAAATCACCGAATTTTCTTCCTGTTTGTCAAGCCAGGCCAGACATTTATGGCGCGTGCTGGGATCTTTGTTCTCCGGTAGGATCACCGGATTAAATGGTCCGATTGCCCATAACTGCCCTGTTCCGGCTGACGGATCTTTAGCCAGTAAGTCCAGGAAAGCTCCTTCGATCACCCTGCAAGTGTTGAAGAGCGTTCCGGAGTTGAACTTCAAGGCTTCATCCTGAATCTTCACAAATTCCAACACTTCTGGAGTCACAAAGGTCTCAAAGTTCCCTAATTCATTTAAAACTTCAGCTTCCGGCGGCAATGGCGGCCTCTGCAGACTTTCCCAGTGGAAATTGTAAATTGAGATAGCCGAAATGGACTGGAAGGAGTAAGACTCGGCGTTTGGTATAGAAGGAATGTCTTGAACATTGGAAGCCATCATAGAATCATAAATAACGACGACCCGCCTTGCTTTCTTGGAGAGATCTGAAAGGAATTGGCGGAGGGGCTCGCGGAGGAGCATGGCGGCGTTGAACGCCGGCAGGATCTGCGAGGGGTACCTGGTTTTAGGGTCGGGGGCGGGGGTTTCGAAAGACGGCATTGGGAATTCATGGAAATGAAGGTTGGAAACGGAGAGAGGATCCCATCCTTGGATTCGGTGCTTGGCCTGGCGGATATGAAGGGCGGCGCCGGTGTAAAATACGGGAACGTTGTAAGAAGTGATTAGGCGGGAGAGGTGGAGGCACTGGTTGAGATGGCCCTGCCCCGGCAGAGGCACCATTACTACCACCACCTTTGCTCCGATGCCATCGTTTTGGGTAATATCGCCGGCCATCTTCCCGGATTTGGAGTGCTCTAAATCTCTAATGGTTATTGAAGCCTTCTGGGTTAGTTCTTATATTGGAGTCCAATGTGGCCATGGCCCATGTGGGCAAGTGGGCAACTCCAACATCAAAATATCTATTATAATTTGTATGTATTTTTAAAATGAGAAACTTGCGAGAATAGTGTGCACTGGATAAACTTGATATTTTTAATTTTGAATTATAGACTTATAGAGCACGTATGATTTTTGTATTTATTCTTGTTAAGGGAATTATTTTGGTAGGTAACCTAAACAACATTACTACAAAAATGACAAACTGTAGTTTTGGTTTGGATTTTTTAGACAAAAATTTAAATAACACTCAACAAGTTACTACTACACATTAGAGACGATCTTCATGGATGGCTCAGCTCAATTAATTTTGGATGAAAAATAGAGCATTTGTTGGAAGGTTATGATATTTGTAATGTGAGAATTAAAATTTATAGTTAAAAGAAATACTTACTTAGCTTGCTAAGCACTTTGTGCCCATATGGCATGTAGTGACCTCTCTCATGTGGGAGGTTATGAGATTGAACCTCAGTGGGGACGTTGTTAACAAAATAAAACCTCTTTGTGCTTCATTAGGTAGCTTGAGCTACTATTGAAACATTATTAATTTGTCATCAATTACAACTTAGATTAGAAAGACATGTGAATTTTTATGTTTAAAGTAACGATTTCTTTAAAAGAAGGATTAAATACACCATCTTAGTAACTAACTAAGATCTACTATTGCAACTTAACATTAATTATGAAAAAATAACACGTATTTTATAACTTAGGACAGGGACAGACTAAAAAGTCAACCAAAACACGGGCACTAATGAAAGTCGGCATGTCCCGCCACGTCTCAGGCCCGCAGGCCTTGGCAGAGTCCCACAAATTTAAAGAGTTTTAAATTTAAATAAAAATTAATATCAAAAAGTTAATAAGTGTATACTAAAATAATTTGGATAGTTTTATTTTTTGAAAACAAAAACGGCTAAAGTAAATTACGGCAAAAGAGCTGAAACAAAGTCAGGAGGGACAAAGTTCCAATACAACAAACTAGCCTGATGAGAAGCTTTAGAGGCAACTAAATTTAACTTTATTGAGACTAAAACGAAAGAACAAACGGTAAACGAAGACATATCCAAGCAATCATTAATCACAAATTCACAATCCCCACATGAGACCTAGGCATGATAGTAGAGGTAGTAAGGTAGCGGTGAAGAGCCGAACAGTCAGTATGTAGAACAACGGTAGCTACTCCACGGTCTTTGAGCCACGAGAGGGCCCCCTTGCAAGCTAGGGATTCGACCATTAGAGTGTTGGAGCAGAACGATAGGTGGCCGTTTGTAGCCGCGACAAACTCACCATTGGCTGAACAAAGCACTGTGCCAAGCATGGTCGTTTCGCGCATGGAGAAGGAAAGGTGATGTGCGCATTTTGCGCACAGAACCTGCCCATACGGGCGCGCCTGACACTGTGTTTTTATATTATTATTATTATTTTTTAAAATTAATTTTGGTTTTTTTTTTCTCTCCTCTCACATCTTCTCTTTCCTAATCACTCTTACAATAACTCTACCATTATGGATGCTCTAAGCGGATCGAGCTAAAAAGCCTATTAAAAAACAGATCATAAAATTCAAAGCACGCACTACTATTTTGACAGAACGGAGTAAATTAAATCGATAGACTAAGTCTGTTTTGACGACTCTACATCAGTCAAACTTGTTTTCTTGTTTTACTTTGCGGCCAAGAAATATATATTGCTTGGCCGACAAGAACTGAAAGCAAACTCTATAGACTTTTATATTTGGGATAATGACGCTTCAATTTATTAAGGATAAGTTTCCAAAAAGTTTGAAAAAAGTCATGCGTGGAGGCAATTTTATTCATAAATCTATTATTAAGTTATTTCTTAAAAAATATTAATTATTTTAATAATGATAATAATTATTTATATTAAAATAAGATTATAATTTAAAAATTTAAATACTTTTAAAAGTTAATAATAATTATAATAAAAAAATGTAAATACATAATTTTAACTTGTAATTTATTATAATAAAAATAATAAATATATAAAGGCATTTTAGTGATCCCATCAGCTAACCTGTGAATGGCTCGCGAATATAATCACAGCGCCCGCATAGGCAGCTCAACTAGTCGTAGAGGTATGTAAAAGTTAAAAAGAATGATCAGTGATCGAGTCTCACCTGGCAGTGTGGGAACAACCTCTTAAAGTGAGAGGGCTCCTTGTGTACAATAAGCAAATGTCTAACCTCTGTTGTTCATGTTCAATTGAGTTACTATAATTTACATACTCCTAGATATTCTGTCTGGTTAGGGTGTGGGGCCCTTAAAGTTGGAGTTCAACCTTTTAGAAAGAATAATATAATCACAGTACAAAGTGGCTTGTGGTCTACTGGTATCGGATTGCTCCCCTATGTGGGAGGTTTAGGTTTCGTGTCTCAGTGTAGGCATAGATTGTATGGGTATCTCGTATAGGTATCCCCTTTCCTTTGTAATAAAAAATAAATAAATAAATATATAATCACAGCACACAGTTGTCGATCTAGAGCCCAGACAAAAATTGTACAAGCTAAGGTGGTTTGATGTCAAATTTATTGGTTTCAAACAATAATACACCCTTTTAACTCATTGGAGCACTTTCGTCAATCAGCATTTTCTCATTCTATTCCAATTTAATTGCTTGATCTTATGGTGTATTGAAATTCTTTTAGAAGAGTATATATATACACTACTGGAAAAATTTCCGACCACCTGAAAATGATCTTAAATTAAGTTGATACCAAAAAGTTCAAAAAGTGGTCGGAAATAGCAACAAAGGTTTTTTCGGATATCAAAAGTGGTCAGAACAAGACTTTCAGCTTGATTTAAGACCACTTTCAGGTGGTCGGAAATTTCAGAATTTCCAGTAGTGATATATATATATATATATATATATATATATATATATATATATATATATATATATATATATATTATTTCTTACTTTCTTAGTTCCTACTCCTACAATTACCACTCCCAAATTAAAATAGAAAACTAATAAGCTTGGTTAGCGTGAGTAGTCATATACTCTCATTCTTTAAAAGAGTTCGGGAGCTCAATTTCTTCTTTCATATGGAAAAATCAATCTGACCAGTACTTTGCCCATTAATTGAGCTGGTCCAGTGCGAATGAAGATTAGTTTGAGTATAGTACAGATTTAAAGATGTCTTATAGTTAGAGTCTATTCAGAACACCTCGTGTAATTATTTGCTAAACTAACAATACTAACAATACGCAGCTACATACTTTTCTTAAAGCTGATTTATTGGATTTGAAAGTTGCGGATTGGCTCAATGTTGTTAACTTGTTATCAAATCATTGTTGTCCCACGTTTATGGTGCCGAAAGATAACTCGAATTAAGAAGTATGCAAGTTTGAACAAACTTCCTACTTGATTACAACCACCATCATTGAGGGATTGAAAATGCTAGTTTTTTGCCCGCATAGGTAGCTCAATTGGTCATAGAGGTGAAAATTTGGAAGAATGATCAGTGATCGAGTATTGCCAGCGGCAGTGTGGGAGCAACCTCTCAAAGGGAGGGGCTCCTTGTGCGCAGTGAGCAAAGATTGGGAGCAACCTCTCAAAGGGAGGGGCTCCTTGTGCGCAGTGAGCAAAGATCTAGACGGAAAAAATTAAGAAGCTAGTAGCTTATTTTTGAAACATTATCTAATGTAGCTTTTCAAAATAAACTCTTATTTTAAGTTACTAGTTTATTTTGGAACATTACCAAACAGAGTTTATAGCTTATTAGTAGCTTAAAATAAGCTATAAGCTCATAAATAAGCTCTACCAAACAGCGCAAATTATGCCGTGCAATCGTGTGTGCATCATGCATGGTGTACACGATTGCAAAAACGACATCGTTTTGATTAAAAACGATGCCATCCGACTTTTTTTTAAAAAAAAATCATTTTCGATTGCTGTTAACGGCGTTATGTTGTGCATAATTTGAACTATATATCCATAATTAATAAAGAGTAAAAGACAATTTTGGTCCAAGACTTATAATGACATAGACAATTTTAGTCCTTCATACAAAAATCAGACAATTTATGTACACACTTATTGTGACGAGGACAATTTTGGTCCTCCGTCTATATTTCTGTTAAATGGCGGTTTAAGAGGAGGGCAATTGCATCAATTCACCCTATCTTCTTCTCCAACCTTCTAGCCTGAAACATCTTGGCCATGTTCATCTTCAGCCAGCCAGGAATGAGCTTTCCCAAATCTCCCGCGTCTTCTCCGCGATCTTCTTCCTCCTCTCCCTCGCTGCGATGCTCTGAGCCGACAACGTCTTCACACCGACTAAGCCTCACTTAGTAAATAAGTTGGTGGCCTTCTTCCAAAAGGATACTTTCACTCTGCTCCCCCTTGAGACACACATATACATCTGGTGAACAAAGTTACTATGAAATTGGTATTGGTAGTCACACAAACGCACTAAAAGGAACATATGTTTTATATGCATTTCCATTTGCACTGAACTGATTTCACAACCATGTTATAGATATGTCAACCCCAGATGCATGAATAGGGGAGAGAGAGAGAGAGAGAGAGAGAGTGGCATACATCTTCTGAGTAAGAATTTTGTTTCTCATTAATGTAAGTATCTCCAGGATCTTTCCCACTGAACACCTCTGATGAATTATAAGTCACAGTTCCAGAAGCAGAAGACCACTGGTTACGGTTATCCAGATTTTTTCTTGAGGCAGCTTGGTTTAATGGAATGGCTGGTTTCCTATCTCTAGCTTGGGATGTCTTACAACTCTTCGCACAGTTCCGGTATTAATTAGATGCTCCTTCAGTGCCGAAGTCCCATCCAGCGTTTTTCTGAGTTTTTCCTTGACTGGTGAAAGTTAGTACCATTAAGCCAAAAAATCTAGAAAACAAAAGCAATAAGCAGAGTCAAGAGATTCAACAAACCTCGATCACTCGAATAGTATCATCTATTCCAGAATTTCTAGTCACCTTAACAGCGCAGAT